TCTGCTACAAMAAACTCTGTTCTAGATGGAGAATAGGGAAGCTTTCGCATCAGACAGCTATAAGTCAAGGCAGTGCTACACAAACTCTAAACCTGTGAAGTCTAATAGCTGAGGTCATGCAGTTGAGTTAGTGGGGARTTTGGGAACACAACTGACAAAACAACCAGGTCAGTAACTAAGAGCATATTTATAATCTATCTGTATTTTAAAAGAACAAAAACCCCAAACCCCACTAAAGAAGGCCCATGGGAGATGGTAAGAATGAGATGGATATGCAGACCAGGAATCACCCAAATACTAGATCTGAAAACATATAATGCATAAGCTGACCACATGGGGCTTTTATTATGATCCCAACCAAGTTAATAGAAATTARGCTGTTAGAAATTAATAAAAGTAACCAACCCTTGGTAAAAATAGATAATAAAGATTTTAAAAGTTAAAAAATAATGGAAGCACTATAAAAGGAACCAAGTATGGAGACAGAAAAATGGCACCAGAGCAAGAATTCAGGGTGCTGCGTAGAGACCTCTTCACCCAGATGTGGAACAGCAATACAGGCTATATCACACATGGGCACAACACTTCAATACTGAGCAACAAACTGAGCTTAGCTTTTAACCACGCATTTTAATCACCTGAACTGGCTTGAAGAGGATGCTACAATACCTGTTAGTGACCTCAAATAACCAGAAGGYCTGGGCTCCTGCAATGACWGCAGTGGTCAGAGAGCTAGCAGATGGAAAAAGCAGGCAAAGTGGTATGTAGTGCATAAGACAATATAATTATCCTGTGTCACAGACAGTTTGTAYTCTCTCTTGCTTTCCCTACTAATAGGCAAAATGAAATGTTTTCTTCTGTGGAGACTGGTTTTGCTTTTTGGTTAAAGAAAGCAGTGTTGAAAMGTGGCTGTTGGGCTTGGAACAGCAAGCACTGAGGTTTGAGAGAACTCTCAAGTCCTTGGACAAGTTCTTTCCATAGCACTTGAGAAAACTAGCTTGCTTGTGCAGCTCAGCTTATGCCTGACAGACCAGCCATCAACTGCTTCCTCCCAGCCCTGGGCTTAAGGCTTTAAAGAAATGGGAACCAGCACCTCAATTTATGACAGAGACTTTAAAAGGGCTGCTGAATAATACAACAAGCTGTAAATCAGCCTTTTACCATGACAGAAAAGGAAAGGGATGAAGTGGACAGTTCCCCTTTCTGAGATCCAGAGCTCTCTAGCAGCCTTATTCCCATTGGCAGTTCTTATTCTTCAAGCCAACCTGAAAAGTTTATAGGAAAGTGAAACTGGACTGAGACATGCAACAAGCAAGCCAGAAGAAAGCTGGAAGAGCTGAATTTTTAACTGCTGGGGATGGGAGGAAGATTTAGTAATAGTGACATGACAKGAAACACAGAAAGAGCTATTGATCCCTGTTAGGATCAATGTACTACCAGAAGAATGAAAAAGTGACCTGAGAAAATTAGAGGCTCTACTGTAATGTCTGAATCTAGGGACAAGAAAATGTCTCAAGTACTGCTGTAATGGAGTTGTGCACATTGCATTAAAAAAATTTTAAAAAGTGGAAGACAGCTTGGGAAAGCTCAGGAAATGACTTTGTTATGCAGCAACAAGACCCTTTTGCACAAGACAAATGATTGCTGCAAGCTATGCAGTGGTTGCCTAAGTTTATAAAGGTCAAAATACACAACAGACAAGYGTCTTGACTTGTGCCTCTTTCCCTACTTCATACACTGCCAGTACATTCCAACACTTTTAATACTTTGTACATCTGCAGTATCAATGTAGTATCCCCTTTCTCATCTGTGYTACTGGAGAAAATGTACCATCCCCAACTCCACTATTAAGCTTCTCTTAATAGGAAGCTGATCAATTTTACAGAACCTGGAACAAACTATACAAAAAGCCAATTTCACATAGAATAGGATCTGCATAAGTAGTAAACATTCATAGCCAGATTTTGTTCTACAGACTGCAAAAGACGGGAGAAATAACCCCTGATAAGGTTTTGGTATATGGGGTACATAGCCCCAAAACATCTCTGACTATGTTAGAAGCTAATGTGGTTATGATTATAATAATAATAATGCTTATTATTACTGTATCACTAGATCACCCACTTGTCAATAAATTATGGTACACTGATTCAGTTTATATAGGTCTCAGCTGCCATTAAGGTTACAGATAGCTACTTAGAAAACATCTTTATCTGAAGCAAAGCCAAAATATTTTGATTGCTTCCTTCCACAGTGAAATGAAACATAACTTTTAAGGTTATAAACAATGAGACAGAAATGATCGACTCTAATAGAAAGTCCCACAATTTCAAGCCAACACTAGATCATTAGAGAAGAATTTTGCATTTTACTGGCAAACTCTGACTTTACCCATCTGCTCCCTTCTCTCCCTATTAATGAGCAGGAGAAAGCTATGAAAGCATGTCTAAAGATGACAAGAGCACAAGCTTCTCTAGATGCTWAGGAAAGATCAATGAGCTGTCCCCCTATGTTCAATATCACACTGACAGGAGTGGCAGGCTCTTGCCTGCCAGACAAGGAAAATCAGAAGGCAGCACTCCTCTGCTTTGTATTAATCATCTGAGCTATGTATGGTATGTTCTTGTTCTTTACACAAATACCTCATGATCATTTGTATGCCACAAATATTTTCCAATACAGATCTCTGCCAGGACATGCTCCATTTCAGTAATCCTTTAGAGCCATTTCAGTGAAATAAGGTTGGAGGGCAGCAGAAAGATTCAAGAATGCAAGGCACATATCAGCTATGTATGTTCACAAGATGTCARAGCTGCTCTCACACTGATCGAAGGCCAGGAAAGATCAGAGCAGCTCASAGTTGTTTGACTTTTGCCAGAACACATCACACTCAACTTAGGTTTCTACTTCTTTGAGAAAATGAAAAAAGACAGACCAGCTAAGCATGCTTTTCCAAGACAACGGACACAGGTCCTGAGGGTACTTTATACATGCTTTTTCCCTTGTGTTTCAGAAAATGGGATGTGGTGCCTGAAGAGGTTTGAGGATCTTTAGAGCCACTTCAGCACAAAAGTAAAACAGTGAGATGGGAACAGAACAAGCTGCGCTGCTGGTAAGAACACGGTGAGGAATGGGTGCAGAGGCAGACCACTGTGCCTGAARGCATGGGACCTTCAGGAGAGGGATGGAGAGCTGAAGAAGGGAGAGGCTGAAGGACCTTGGCTTATTTAGCTTCCTACATGGAGATCAAGAAGAGATAYGGTCACTCCCTGAATGGCCATGATGCAGGGTAAAGTACATCACCAAATRGGAGAGGAACTATTTCAAGAAATCACTGACCCTAAAGATAGACATACATAAACTTGACATTTTCCACTTAGAAGAATTTTCTTCAAGTTTCTAAGCATCACCAGGAATGAATTATAAGTTTCTAATATAGCTTTCTAAAAGTAAGAAAAATGCTGATTACTTGTAAACTGAAAGTTTATAGAAGGAATTAACTATCTATAGCCCAAAGTGTGAAGAATGAAAAAAAAATCCTTTCTTTTAAATCAACTAGTTAAATTAAACAAGAAAACAATAAAATTTTAGATTTTTTTTAACCTCAACTTGGTTTTTAGGCAAGTGATATGAAAGGCAGTATCAGACATTTTGGTTTTAAAATAATTTTGTTTCTGTCTTCTTCCCATTTAGATTCCCTGCTTGTAAAAAAGATGTGACAATACAGATTTTTCCAGTTAGTACTAAAAATTCAGCAGAAAAGAAAAAGCTTCAGTGAAAAATATTTCAACTAGCTATAAAATTAAGAATTATTTCTTTATATTAAGATATGTTCCTCAAGMAGAGCATACAGATTGTTAAATTAAATCCTCAATACTTAAATATAAGCCCAATGAGGGCATGATTATGTTGCACAAGAGGTTTTTCYTGTGATCAAAGAGTCAAGCAAGAACACCCTTACACTTTGGTAATTAAGCCAAGAACATGAGTTTCAAAGAAACAGACAAAAAAAATTATGATCTGCCAGTCTGTAAGTACATAACTTTTCAGTACTATTTCTAGAAGATGCATGTATGCAAAACTGGCATTGCTTGGAAAAATGGAAAGTTATCAACAGCAAGTCACGAGCTCAGGCAAACAAAAACTCTAAAGATGCCATTATTTCTGCATATAGCCATATATTAGAGCAAGTCATATAGCAAGGTATATCAGAACTTGCAGCTCTAGTGATATTCAGGATGACCTTTTCCAAATCACAGAGAAATAGATAGGTTTTAATCATTTAAACACAAGTTCTGCTGCCTTCTAAAAGATCAGAAGATAAATATGTGCTACATTTTTTGTTTGACTGGAGATACATTTACCAATTATATCAAAAGTTTGCTATGGAGTACATAGAGAACTGTGGCTATCTCAAAAAGGAAATCACTTTATCTCACTCCCTTATTTGGAGTATGGCGTATATGGAACTGTTAAATAAAAAACCATACATGAAAGCAAACCAGACTCTATTAGAGAGATAAAAATCACGTGTTTTATATATATGTATATATATATGCATATATATGTTATGTAGAAATTTAAAAATAAAAGTCTGGTGAACCCATTTTAAGTGGTACCATAAAACTGCTTTGAGGACTGCTATCAAACAAGTCTTTGTGACTTGGACTTTTTTAGGAAGCTAATTAGAATGCAGATTTTATTGCCTTCCTACATTTCTTTGGTAAGTTAACCAACCCTTTTAATGCTAGAGCTCCATAATTAAAAGCAAACTTTGACAAATTCCCTCCTCTATAGTACCCCAGGCTATGTGGCTTCCACGTTTATGGGGAACCACAACAGCAATTCCAAAGACTGTAAAACCCATCTCTCAGGCATATTTTTCCCCTCCCACAGCTTCTGTTGGTATAAGATTCCTATGAAAGTGTGACTGCTTTGAAAAATTGCATCTGTCTGTGCCCCGGCCAAGTGTTGTCAAGACAGTCAAGGCAAACACCTACCACAACAATCTCTCCTTTGTCAGTYACAGGGATCCCATGAGAAAGCACCAACCAGTCTACGATTTTAGTAGTCTTGGACAAGCCTGAAACACAAAACATAAGAGTCACCCTTTATTTCAGTTGACTGTATAAAACCAGAACTAAGAGCTCCATTTTGCTGAGGAGCTTTTAAAATAGTGTGATAGCACAAACAGACTTAGCAAAGACAGACAAAGTTCACGTCCTAACCCTTCCTACTCTCTGCACTTACTGAATCAGTTCGTACTTATCAGCTTGGGAAGATTAAACCCATTACACAAGAGATTTTTACTATTAYTATTTTTATTTTTAACAATGAATTTCCAAGCCTGAAACCAATTATGTCTTACTGTCATCTTACATAGCTGCAGCCCAGAACTTCAGRAAAACATCACAAATTGTATCCAAATCCAGGTTCAGGGACTTGTTACACACAAAACCAGCAGTGAACTACAACAGCTTTCCACGCACTTAGCAAAGCCTGTCTAGAAATTGCACTGGGCAAACATACATACAAAACAATGCACAAAGCCCACTGCTCTGAGCAATAATCACTCTGTAGGCAGAGAATTTTAAAAACTGTGATGAGACTGAACCTATTGTGCAGCAGCAAGGTTACTACACAGTTTCCATCACAGAGACAAGGTGGGATGACCAGCACAACCTGAGTGCTGCAATGGATGGCTATAAATTAWTTGGAAGGGAAAGGCAAGGAAGGAGAGGCAATGGGGTACACTCCCTGTACATTAGGGAGTGTTTTGACTACCTCAAGCTTGATGATGATAATAATAGGGTTTACAGATAAGAACCAGGAGAAGGCAAATAAGACAGTATCCTGGTGGGAGTCTRTTACAGACTGTCCAACCAGGATGAAGAGGCAGATGAAATATGCAATAAGCAGCTGGGAGAAGCATCATSATCACTGGCCCTGTTCTTGCAGGGGACTTCCAATTCACCAGATAACTACTGGAAATACAACACAGCAGAGAAAAAACACTCTAGGACRTTCCTGGACTGTGTGGAAGAAATTCCTGAATCAGCTGGCGAGTCAGTCAACAAGCAGAGGTGCTCCACTGGGTCTGTTTTTCACAAACACAGGACKTGTAGGTGATAACGATAGTTGGAGACTGTCTTGGGCATAGCAACTACAAAATGACAAAGTTTTTGATCCCTGAAGAAGTAAGGAAGGAGTCCAAAAGAAGGAAAGTTTATGACCTTGGCAACTCAGAAGGACTACAAGGATGTTGTGAGGTTATGCAGTGAGAAAATCAGAACAGCCAAAGCCAAACTAGAACTTGATCTGACTACTGCCATAAAAGATCATAAAAAAAAAGTTTTCATAAATGCATCAGCAAAAAAAAAAAAAAGGTTCTATAAATACATCAGCAACAAGAAGGGTTAAGAAATATCTCCATCCTTTACTGGATGCAGGGGGGATGGCACAGTCACAAAGGCTGAGGAAAAGGCTGAAGTAATAATACCTTCCTTGCCTCAGTTTTTAACACTGAAYCAATTGTTCTCAGGGTTAACCAGCTCCCTGAGCTGGATGACAGGGAGCAGAATGAAGGCCCCATAATGCAAGGGGCAATTGTCAGTGACCTGCTACACCACTTTGATGCTCACAAGGCTCCGGGGCTGGATGGGACATACTCAAGGGTACTGAAGCAGCTGGTGGGCTTGCTCACAAAGCCACCTTCAATCATYTGCCGGCAGCTCTAGCTAAACAGGGACTGGAAGAGACAGAATGAGGATTTGGGGAAYCACAGGCCTGTCAGCCTGGTATCAGTGCCACAGAAGGTTGCAGAGCAGATCAACCTGAGTGCCATCAACTAACATGTACAAGACAACCAGGGGATGAGGCACAGCCAGCACCGGCTCAAGAAAGGCAGGTCCTGCTTGATCAACCTGATCTCCTGTGACAAGGTGACAAGATTCCCCCATATGTGGCACTGGTGAAGACACACCACAAGTGCTGAGTGCAGTTTTGGGTCCCTCACTTCCRGAAAGACATTGAGGTGCTGGAGCATGGTGAGAGAAGGGCAGCAGAAGTGGTGAAGGGTCTGGAGTGCAAATCCTATGAGAAGGAGAAGGAGCTGGGGGTGGTTTAGCCTGGAGAATAGGAGGCTGTGAGGGGTGACCTTATCACCCTCTACAACTACCCAAAAAGAAGTTGTAGCCAGGTGGGGATCAGCCTCTTCTTCCAGGAAACAAGCGATAGGAGCAGAAAGAAAGCAGGCCTCAAGCTGCATCAGAGGAGGTTTGGGTTGACTGTCAGGAAGAGCTTCTTCACTGAAAAGGTTGTCAGGCATTGCAATTTGCTCTCTGGAGGAGTGGCGAAGTCACCATCGCTGAAGGTGTTTCAAAGATGTGTAGATGTGGTACTCAGGGACATGGTTTYGTGGTGGACTTGGCACTACTGGGTTTACACTTGGACTTGATGATCTTAGAGGTCTTTTTCAACTAAAGAATTTTATGATTCTATGAATTCATAACACAGCAATTGGCAGGAGTCCTACTTTCACTGCAAGCATTTCTCAGATTTATCCAACAATGTTGTTTCTGAGATAAATCATCAKCTGAGTTCCTTTCCAAAAAATACTAGTAAAATTCATACCCTCAAACTGAGTATGGTAGATTTTTAATATAAAATCCATCTTTTGTTACCAAATCTGAAAAAATTCAGCTTGGAATTAGTTTATAGCCAAACACACAAAATTCTGATCTTCCTTATTCATCTTAAGTTTTARACAACACGCTATTTAAAAATATTTGTAATTATTAAAGCATGTCTTAACATTTGAAACTCCTAAAAATAAGCATTGAATTCCTGCAACATTCTCATCCTCCACTGATTTCCATTTAGAGGGATGTGATATGGGAAAAATATCTACCATACTTGTAGAAAAAAACAAATAAACAGTAAACAGTAGTTAACTGTTACTTAGGCAACCAATACTCAAAAAAAAAGATCACATATATATGTACTCTAAAATTCTAGGCTAYTGATCAGTTATTCAGCTAACAGCTGTGTCACCAAAACAAGGTTCCCCCCTCACTTCTTACACACCTTGCCCACTTCAACCTTCCCCTCCTACTTCTTTAAAACAAATCTTGCTTGAAAATAAGGAAAACTGACAAAAATGTTATTATCCTCTTCCTAGATTATCTTGACAGTTCAGGAGGAAAASGAAAATCTATTTTAATTATGGCGTATCCACTTGTACAATAAGAAAACTGCCTCCTGGATCTTGGCRTCTGAAGGGTCATTGGACATATCAGATTGTTAACCTGAACACCACAAATTGTTATGCATTTCCCAAGTGCCCTGACAGCAAGGTAAGTAACTCCTACATGGATAACAAATACGGCCTGGGCACATGACCTGCCTTGGGCTGGAAACCTCAAGAGATTCACCACTTTCTCCAATGGTGGGAAGGCAATTTACTGGTTTGAAGAGCTACCACTGTTCACCTTTCCATTCAGCTCTTCAGACAGTGTTTCCAGTTCTGCTTATCACTCTCTAAATGGGAGGAGGAAAATAAATTTAAAAAGGAAAGTAAAAGAAAGTGGRTACAACACACTTTCTTGTCAAGGCAGTCCCTTCTACGGTCAGGGGTATGGTTAGTGTTTAGGCTGCTTTCAAACTCATTTCCTAAAGCTCTAACACAGATGTTTTTYATCTCTTCTGCCAGCCCTCCTTTTTTGCACAAAACTTGTCCTGGCCAGCACTCTCAGTCATTGCATCAGCTTCATCGGACTTATGCATCTCATAATCTCTTTCTTCCTCTTAAAAACTTGCCAGCACCTCARTCAGCACTTCACTAACCACTCTACCAGGGCTGCCTTCTTGGGGCCCTCTCTCCCACTTCTATCTTGCAAAGGCAAAAGAAATCGAGTAGTTCTTTATCAGCAACATTTGTCACCCCTCCTGTTTGCTCCTCAGAAATCTCTTCCAACCACAAAAATTCAGTTTATCCTCTCTACAATACCTCAAAGATGTACCTCCTACTCCAAGTCTCTCTCTTCTCATCTAACTGGAAATTTCAACCCTTCTCTGTGACATTTCCTTGGAGTTATCCACCTATTAGGTTGAGTTCTACAAAGAGATGAACAAACCTCTTAATCTCCGCTCCCAYACAAACTTTCCCAAGAGGCTCTTATTGAACAGCCAGTACCCTGCCAGTCCCCCCAAGCTGCAGACTGATCAATATATTCAACAAGAATCTGCATGCTTATATTGCGTATGTTTTATATATTATTGCACATATTATACATAAAATGCAGTCTTTCTTCTGATCTCTTAGAAACTAAAATGGTTATCTTGRTACTCAAGATCTTCCTCCCTTTCTCAGGCTTCAACCAAGTGAATCCAAGTTTATGAATTTCTGAAATTACATAACCAATTGTCATCTTCCGCACATGCCGCTGGGCTATTTAAACTCTTTTATTGCTATTTAATTCATGTAGAACCCCCCCAAGTTCTTTTCCCATAATTTTAATAACCTTCGCACTCTGTTTTCTCTTGATCATTTTTCAGCAGTGCTTTATACTCCATCAGCAACAAAGCAATTTAGCTCACAAAGATGAGCTGACTAATTAATCCAAATTTTTTTTACATTTGTCTTTGGACGAGATGAAGTCTGTATTAAGATTATCTGGAATCCAGTAACTACTAATAAAAATGTAGGTGGAAAAAAAAAAAAGCAGCTGCTCACACTCCACCCTTTCYATATTAAACCACTTCTAGGAATTTTTTGACCACTAATCATTATTGTGGCTCTTTCCTCACCTCCTGAAAGTTTTAAAAGACCTTTTAAAGACGTAAAATCTAGGAGCAGATACAGAACTTGAGTGTTATTGCCATTAATGCCATGCAAGGAAAAAAAATGCTTATTTTACAAATTCCATCAACCAAGAATTAAATCAGCCCTCTCTTCTCTTCCCTGTAACAGTGAAGCCCTCTCTTCACTGTAACAGTGCACTGATACCTTAAGAGTTCTGTGTCCAGCTTGATCCCTACACTTTAGCAGAATTGCTGCTTTCCAGGGTGCAGTCCCTCATGCTT